ATACTCTTTACAGCCAGGGAAGCAAGTATGGTAATTCCAGAGTAGGTCAATTTTACCCAAAGAGAAAAATCAAATGGGAAATTAGTGACAAACCAGTGGCCTGGAGTATAGATAAGGAGAAAACACAGGTGCGCCATTATTTCCTTAAGAAAATTCTCATTGACTCCGGGGAGGATAACTTTAGTAAAGAAACAATGCATGTTTTGTTTTTGTTTTCCCCAGTTGAAAGTCGGTGAAAGGAAAGACATGATGTTGGATAAATATGTGTGTGTGTGTCTCTAAATATATGGGCTCTGGGTTCACAGAGACCTAGCTTTAAATTATGACTATTACTTTAAAAATAGTGACCTTGAGTAGGTAATTTAATCTTTCTAATCTATAAACTGTGAGCCTTAATTGTACTGACCTCAACGGGCTCATCAAGGATTTCTGGATGCCTAGTGCATAGTAGGCACTCACTGAGTCCCTATTCCCACCACCTAACCTCTATGCGGAGAGGTAAGACTAGAGATAACTGTTAGTGCTTTTGCATATGTATGGAATCTACTGTGTGAAAGGAAAATAAATACTCGGGACCCCAATTCACCATGCTATGTTTTAGAAAAAAATAAGCCAAAAGCTGGGTCATGCGAGAAGCTGCCTTTCGTTTTGTGCCTAAACAGAGAGCTATAGATGAAAGGTCAAATAGCTCCAGATGTAGCTACTGTATGTTCACCGTATCTTATGTAAAGTGCTGATTTACTGATCTCAACATGAACACATCAGTGGCAGTTCCCTTGCCTGCTCCCTTGCTCTTGCAACATGTGGATTGTTATACCCTCCCTCTTTCCCCTCCAGCCCACTTTCCTTTTTTAAATATTGAGGCCCTCAAATTCATCTTTGGAGAAAGGCGCAGACCATAGACAGTTTCTGTGACTCCATGTTATTTTCTTCTGGGCGTGCCCTTCATCTAGGCAAAATAAACTTCTAAGTTGATTGAGGCCTGTGGCAGATACTTTTTGGCTTATTACTGTCTCTAGAGTAGAGTTACCAACGGTGCACGCTGATACTATGGAGGACTTGCATGTGCCAGGTGCTATTGACTCATCTAATCCACATAACTTCAGGAAACGGGGCATTATAACTTCATTTTACATGAGGAGATTATGGCACATAGAGTTCCTAGAACTCATCTGA